CCTCTATGAGAACTTGTGTTCATTTTTCTTACAGGATTGTCAGTATTTAGTCTGTCTTGGTCTGTAATGCCCAAATCCCTTTCTTAAAAGCTGCTGTTTAGGAAGTCATTCATCAGCTTATGCTTGCACAGTTGATTGTTCCTACTCAAGCATCCATTGCTTTATTTCAAACTACTGCTTCAATTTATCAAAATCTTCTCTAGGTCCTAAAAACAAATCTTGAACAATTGCAGACTTGGGACAGGCAATTCGGAAATGCCATTCTTACAATTCGATGTGAAATATTTTTTTTAGCATATTTTTTGGGTGTGGTTTTCCAGTGCATAAACGTATTGGTACTTACAGAAGTTTAAAGTTACTGCCTTAATAGTTTTGACGATTGTAGTCTATTTCTTTTATAGTAATATTTAGGGTTTTACATAAGTAAGAACTGCTGAGACTAGTAGATTTTGTTTCAAGATTTATGATAGTCCTTAGTGCTTGACATTTTTAATGGAATGGTATGTTTGATTAATGTAAGCATTAAGAGCATGCAAATCTGTCATTGTTTTTATGAAAAATGTGTTGTTGTACATCTCTTCTGTTGAATTTTATTTTGCAGTGTCAACAGTCAGTGCCCATCTGTAATTTTCAGTGTAGCACTCCCTAAAGCTCCTACTATTCATAAACCAAAAAAACTTCATTTTGCCTTCATTTTTCTTTCAGAGATGAGTTAGTTCTGTTGCCCTTTCTTTTGACCATTTTAATTCTTTGGAAACAGCGCACACACTCCTACTAAGCTTATTTCTCATCAAACACTTCCAAAACCATATATGACTTCTTAATTCAAAAGGCATCTGCTAATGGAAACATTGAGATCAGCAGAAAAGAACATTAGCTAATGAGTTCTGGAAACAAAAGGGTTGTAGAAGGAACGCACTCATCAGAAACTTATTTTCTACCACCAACCACACTATAACAAAAATACATATATTTTTCCAGCCAAAGTGTTTTTAATCTTAAAAAAATCAGTTAAAGTAACTCACTGTCTGATTTTAAATATATATAGGGTGTAAAGCTTAATTTGATATACATCTAATGCTGTAAAAGCTTCCTAATTTTTTAGATACAGTAAGAAACATGTTTTGGTTACAAGTTCTGTGAGTGTTTTATCAATATAAAACTATACATAACCTTTAAAAGATTCTTGTTCTTCAGTCTTTTCTCTTAATAGAATGTAGGCAAATGATTTTTGTTGGTTCCTTCCATTATGCATAAATTGTCAGACACTGTTTGTTGCTTTAATAATTTTAATATTTTCAAGCCTCTAAAATAGACTCATGTGAGGAGCTACATCTTGGAACGGTACCTGAGTTTCAACTGTCACCCTTCTGGCTGTGTTTGTCATCTTCTGTGATGTGTAGTATAGCGCTTTGTTCATAGGAAACACAGTGAGTTCAATTACTGAAGTCTGCCCGACTTTAAGCAACAAGATAAACAGATTTCTGTGAGATAAGATGTTTGGTGTCATGCCAATGTTGGTTTGAAAATTTGTTGACATTCTTTAGATTATTTATTTTTGCTTCTGTCTTAACATTTTTATGTTCTTAATAAAGTCAATCTTTTTTTTTTTTTTTAACTCAGAATTTTAATTATTTAATAATCTTCTCCAGACCTTCTTCAGACCTGATTTTAAGGTCTTACACATTTGTCAGATTCCTAGCTCATGATTTGCGGTCTCCTAAAACAGTATTTGGAAACACAAACAGCCTGTTGCTTGGCAAGAGTTATCCATGTACTGTAACTGCATGAAAAAAGTGAAATATCTTACCCAATAAAGAGAAGCAGTTATCACACATTTACTTTGAGAAGAGAGTACATACAGAGACAATGCCAAGGAGCTGACATTTTGTAAATGCATGTTGTAACTTCCCTTGCAGTAAAGTGTTTGCATTTCTATACTTATGATTTTCATACCTGAGAATCATAAAATACCAGGTTGGAAGGGACTTCAGGGATCATGTGATTCAACTGTTCTGTGCAAAAGCACAGTCCAGACAAAATGGCCCAGCACCTTGTCCAGCTGAATCTTAAATTTTGTGTCCAGTGTTGGGGAATCCTCCACTTCCCTGGGGAGATTATTTCAATGGCTGATTGTTCTCATTGTGAAAAATTTTCCTCTTGCACAATCGAAATCTTCCCAGGAGTAACTTGTACTCATTACCCCTTGTCTTTTTCCTGGTAAAAAGGGAGTCTTCATCTTTGTAGCCACCCTTTAAATACTGGAGCATGGAGATAAGATCTCCTCTAAGCTGAGGAGGAGGAGGGTTTTTTTTTTCCCAAGGCTGAACAAACCCGGTTCTCTCAGCCTTTCCTCATATGGCAGGCTTCGCAGTCCTTTGACCATCTCTGTGGTCCTTCTCTGCACCCTCTCCAACCTGTCCACATCTTTTTTGTATAGCGGGGACCAAAACTGAACACAGTATCCCAGGTATGACCTGACAAGTGTTGAGTAAAGTGGGATAATGATTATCTGTGCTGGTGATGTCCTTGTTGATGCCACCCAGCATCCTGTTGGCTTTCTTTGCTACAGCAGCACACTGTTCAGAGTGTTGCAGGTTTCAGGCTATCATTTGGTAACTGCAGTCTTGAGGACTGCCTGAAAACTTTACTGAACCCACGTGAAAGCTGGATTAGGACAAAGAGATTTGGACAAAGAGCAAGGTCCTGAGATGAGGGGTAGCACTTCTCAGTATTCACTGAGAGGACTTAGCCACTAAGATGGAAACTTATTTTATTGCAAAGGTCACCAAATGTACCTACGGATTGATGGATTTGCATTGTTAGAGCCAAAGGCACAAAGTTATGTAAAACCTTTGATATCATTGGTATATTATTTTGTGAAATTAATTTAACAGCACTCGCAGTATAGGAAACCAGGATTTAATCTCCAGGACTACCAAGACCAGATAAACATCAAGAAAGCAGGAACATTGTATGAGGGGCTTTACTGCTCCCAGGTATTCCCAGCCTTGTCTGCTATTGTTGTCAGCAGTGAGATTGCAGGATATGCATACTTGTGTGTAGCTGGTTTTCTGTCAGAGTGCCAGAGCTGTGTTCAAGAAGAAAAGTGGATACAAACTAATTTTAGCAGTTTGAATTGTGGCAAAACCTGAATTGGTATGTAATAGGGTAAATGAAAGGCTTTGCTTTGCTTTCAAGGGGACCTTTAGACATCATCTCATACAGACCCTCTTGCTTAAACCTCAGACAGGTTGCCCAGGACTGTGTCCAGATGGCTTTTGAATAACTACAAGGAGGGTGATTCAACCACCTCTTTGGGCAATCTGCACAAGTGTTCCGTCACCCCAACAGTACAAAAATGTTCTGTGATGTTCAGGAGGAACCTATTTATACCTTCTCTTCAAATATTTGTACCTATTTATGCAATTTTCCCCCCCAAACCCTCTCCATGCTGAACAGTCCCATCTGTCAGCCTCTCCTCATAAGAGAGATGCTCCAGGCCCTTCGTGGCCCTTTGTTGGACTCTCTCCAGTATGGCCATGTCTGTCTTGTACTGAGGAGCCCAGAACTGAACACAGTACTGTAGATGTGACCTCGGGAGTGCTGAGTAGAAGGGAAGGATCACCTCCCTGGACTTGCTGTTGACAGTTATATTGCAGCCCAGGATACCATTAGCTGCCTTTTGCCACAAGAGCACATTGCTGGCTGGTGTGCAACTTGATGTCCACCAGGGCCCCCAAGGCCTTTTCTGCAAAGCTCCTTTCCAGCTGTTTGGGCCCAAGGAGGTAGTGGGGCACGGGGTTATTCCTTCCCAGGTGCAGGACTTCGTATTTCTCGTAGTTGAACTTAATGAGGTTCCTGTGGGCCCATTTTTCCAGCATGTCAGGGTCGCTCTGGACAGCAGCACAACCCTCTAGCATATCAACCACTCCTCCCTGCTCTGTGTTATCAGCAAACTTGTTGAGGTTATACTCTTCCTCATTAGCCAGTGATAATTTATGAAGTGATATTGTTGCCTCAAAATACATCCAAGATCACTGTCAAACAAGAGAAGTAGGATTACACTCAAAGATCAGTTTATAATTTTTTTAGGAGTATAAATATGGAAGTCTTGATCCTTCTTTACTAATCTTCATACTTTATTGTTTTGTCCTAGTATAACTATTGAGAAAAAGGTTTTAACTGGGGGGAGGTGATTTAATTAACTTGTAAGGGGAACTTGGTGCATTTAAAATACTAGCCATGTAAGTTATTACCTAAGCAATTGAAACTGAAGAATAGGCTGTGGTGACCAGTATCAGAGAGATTCGGATTCAGGCTTTGAGATCGGTCAAGACTGATTCTTCTATTGCTTGGAGAATATGATGCAGAGAAGCAAATTTAATTTTTGTTACTATTTAAAATTCTTATTTTATTTACATAGTTATTTTTCATTCTCGCTGTCATTATCTGAAGGATTACTGAATTAAATTAGTTGTACTACTTTTTTTTTTCCACCAGTAAATGTATTACATTAAGAATGTATTTTTAATTAGAGGGCTGTAATAGTGATTTATAGAGAAATTTTAAAATTTATTGAACAATATCTAGTGTTCAGTGGTTTAATTTATATTGCAACAGCTTCAAAATTGGAGAAAAATTTTCTAGTTTCTGAATCATATTACAATGGGCTGGTTGTTATAAGAGCCTGATTAATATATACTGAGAATCATATTTGTGTTGTGCAGTAAATTTTCATCATCCATGTTTATAGAGACCATTTAACTTGAATGCATTACAGATTTCTTAACAGTGCTAACTGGTACACAGGAAGTCAAGTAAAACTGCCAAAAAATTAACTCTTCATAATATAGTAATGTTTGTTAACACCTCGGACTTCTGTGAAACAAATTATTTCCTCTTTCTGTCTAAAAATGATTTTATTGTGTATTTCAAGTACTTTGTCTGATGAAGCTTGCCATTTCATCAGGTACTTGAACATTTATGACAATGTTTAATGTGCCATCTAAGTCCTGGATGATCTCAAGATTAGTTGTCATTATTATTTTGAGCCTGCTGATGAAAAATGTGAGAAGTAGCAAAGAATTCTGTTTCTTCTATTATTATTTCTGAGACTGATTTCACTTACATGTACCTTTATTCCAACTAAAAAAGATAATTTACAGTTTCGTAATTGGTAATGCAAAGTAATGAAAATTTAAATGAAGCAGTTTTTATTTCTTCATGCCTGGAAACTGGTAAAAATCAGAGCCAAAAATTGTATTTGTTCTCGTTTTCAACCTTAACACAATGCTTTTTGCAAGGCTACAAGTAAGCAGAGATGGTACAGCTCTCTAGAAAGTGTTTTGATTTTTCCCTTGATGTCTTAATGACATGTCTCAGTGGAGCTTCTTAGTACAGTATAACTGAGCCTACAGATCTTACCAAAATGATTTTGTTTTCATTTTTTTCAGCTTTTTTAATATGTGTTTATAAGGAGTTAGCTGATGGATTGATTATGAAGCATACTTGGACATGATTCTTATGGTCCAGTTTAATGGAAACTGTTATGTAACACCTTTGTTTAAGTTACTTCGATTGCTTCATGCCAGCCTGAGGTTGCAAAATAGGCACTTCAGCTGTAAAGCAATAAAGCAACTTTCAGAGTCATAGTCACAAGGTAAAACAGGAAACCACCTCCTAGTCTGTTGCGTGATTATCTTTGCAATATAAGCATATAAGCATGTCCTCTTATGCTGGAAGAAAGTAACCTTTTTTTGTCTTTATTATTTTAGCCATGTCCTTCAGGAGCCCGTGATTTTCGAGAAAAGCAATGTGCAGACTTTGACAATATGCCTTTCCGGGGAAAGTATTATAACTGGAAACCCTACACTGGAGGTAATGATTAGCTTTGGAAAAATGTTATTGTATGTGAAGTCTTCAAAATTATATAAATGTCATATAGAGAGTAATGTGTGTAAATAGAATGTTTTGATAAAGTATAATGAACTAAGTTTGCCAGGCTACTGTTTTTGTCAGTTGCTGAAAATGTTGCAGAAGAGCCATCTCTGTTCTAGTAGAGTTTTGTTTTAGTGTGAAGGGGAGTAACCATCATTGTAGGGGCTCCAATTTAAAAATATGGAACCCTTCTCCACCTGCAGGTGCAAAAGAATTAGCTATTCTATAGGGGATCTGTATGTGACTTTCATGCTACAATGATGGATTCAGTATAAAAAAAATCACAATGTTTTGCTTTTTTAAGGTCAGAATATTAGGAAAAAAAGAAATAAATGAAAGTATTTTTAAGTGTCTTTAAAGACTACTTAAATAGTTGAATTATAAATAATTGCACTGTGCAATAAAAGGGTATTTTTGGGCAGATAAGAGGGTTGTAATTTCTTTTTCTCTTTGAAACAGTTTAATGAAATTTATTTATGCTTCTGTTGTGCAAAGTTCATAGGTTGTCCTTTTATTATTTTGTTTTTTCCTGTTCTAAACCCTGAGTGAAAAACTCCATATTCCCCTTGTGATTTTTATATTTTACTGACTTGAATGGTTTTACTCCTAGTTTTTTAGATTAAAAGCCTAAAAAGGATCATTGTGATCATGTGATCCAAGCTGTAGTGTGTAATTCAATAGAACTGAATTTCTAATTGAAACAGTCTGATCTTGATTTTGATATTCACCCTAATAAACTTCTAGCACTACATTCTTTTGTTATTCTTGTTTTTCAAATGGTCAAGTGGTATCCTTATTGTTTTAAATTGTTCAATAATCATTAGGGTTGTATTAACATAATGGAATCGTTATGGAGCCAGCCAACCTTGCCATATCTTACTATGCGAAATAATCTTTTTTGCAAGAAAGAAGAGTCAAGTAGAGAAATCAATAAAGGGGAGTTAAATAAAGTATATGCATTATATATGTCAGGTATGAGATAAGATTATAAATTTCAGATCTATTTATACATCTATGTTTTTAACTAATTGTTAACTTTTCAAGATTTCTGTTGGGTTTTTTTTTTTTCATTCATTTTTGTTGTCCAGGTGGTGTTAAACCATGTGCATTAAACTGCTTGGCTGAAGGTTATAATTTTTACACTGAACGTGCTCCTGCAGTAATAGATGGGACTCAGTGCAATGCTGATTCACTGGATATCTGTATCAATGGAGAATGCAAGGTTACAAATGTTTTATAAAGTACTTATGGATTACTTTGTTGTGTCTGCTGTCTCCTATATTTAATTATGGTACTTGTTTGTTACTTATATGAAACGACAGGTCAAGTTGTTAATGAAACAGTAAGATTGAGACAAAAAGTTTCATGATGAGAAAGACATTACATAAAATAGACAAATCATTTGAATTTCAGTAGCTTCTCACATTCACAGAATCCTTCATTTGGTCTTCATTTTTCTTGGTTTATGGTTTCTCTTGAAGAACTGATGGAAAGGGCAATGGGAGATGAACAGATTCTTGCACTGTTCCAAGGCCTGTTCCATCATTCCGATTAGAACACCACTCTGGCTGAAAAGCAGTAAATGGGAACATACTAATCTGTTTCTCTCCAAGTAGTTCATCCTGTTGCAAACAATTCTGCTGTTAATGTAATTGAGACATAAAGATGTCACTATTGCTTTGTAGTTCTAGGAAAAAGTGTATAACGATGCAAATATTTACTGTTTACTAAAATTCTGAAACTTTGTAAGATTCCTATAGAACTGCCTTATTAATTATGTACTTAAGTCTAGACATCTAAACAGTGCTTGTGACTCTAAAAATTGTTTGATGTCATTGAAACCACTAAGATAACTAAAGTTTAACCTGATGCTTAAATTCTTTACTAAATTGAGGGCAGAGGGTATATGTTTGTTGAATAACATGATGAGATCAAAAGCATTTGCCATGTATTAGTAAACTAACAACAACAACAAAAAAACCCCATAAGAAATAACGTGTGGAATTCTGGTGTACTTTATACATAAGAAGATTTCAGTAGTTTTGAGAGCTCTTTTAAAACCAATAATCAGACAAAGTCTCAAGTTGAGAATGAGCTATTGGACCTCTGTTTTGATGAATCAGAAGGTCAAAATGCAAGTGGTTAGAATACTGTTTTGTCAGTTATTTAAAGTATTTTAACTTCTGTTATGACCTATGTATTGATGGTAGGTAATATTTCTAGACAGTAAACAAAGTTATGTAACTGCCTCCTTTTTTGTATAAATCCCAGAAAATATTGGTAAGCTGCAATGTTCATTCTGTTTATGTCCTACTTGTTCATTCTCTCTTTTTTTTTTTTTTTTTTAAGGGTCTTGCTGTCTCTGTTTTCATTAGCTTTGTAATAGGGTTGAATCAGTAAGTTATAGGGAGTTAATCATTGTTCACTTACATACATTTTTCAAGTAGATAATCAGAAAAGTAATGTACTTTTTATGATCAGTTATAGACACCTCTTTTTTCCAAAGGGTTTTGAACCCTGTCTATTACAGTGTAATAGACAGGATTCAAATTAGTAATTAGTATTCAAATTAGTAATTCAGCCTTTCACTAAGTTGCATTCTGCAGTCATTCTTACAGTGAAGTAATTTACACTTTACATTCAAACTTATGAAAATACTTTTTCAAGTTTTGTCTGTGAAGCTATAAATAAATACCTTTGTGAACAATAATACTATTTACGCTGCATAAATGTTTAGGAACACACAACAAATGTTTACCTTAACAAAGCAATATAGATGGAACGTATTTAGCTGTTGTAATATTAAATAAAAACATCACTAATAATTTATTGATAACTGTAGTAATTACATTGTTTAAAAACTGCTGTGAGATCCCTTCCTGAAAGTCACAGTAGAAATACAAAATATTTATTAATCGAGAATTTGTAACAACCCAAAATGTGGATTGTTCTCCTGTTTTATTTTCTTTCTCTGCTAAGTGAAAATTGACTTATGGAAACAGCTATGAAAACCAGAGTAGATAAAAAGAAGAACTGAATATCTCAAGCTTGAGAGAAACAATTAAAAAAAAACTGTGAAGGTAGTGGTGCAAGACCATCATCCTGTTAAAATATTTGTTCTTACTCTTACCTATTCTCAGCATGTAGGTTGTGATAATATTTTGGGGTCTGATGCTAAGGAAGATAGATGCCGTGTTTGTGGAGGAGATGGGAGTACATGTGAAGCCATTGAAGGTTTCTTCAATGATTCATTGCCTAGAGGAGGTATGCACATATATGTCCATTCTCTTGCATAATGCATTTAGATAACTCTTTAGCAAATAACAGTACTGCATTGACTTTCATGCTGCTGGTCATTCACTGTGACTCCTTTAGCCTCGTTGTTTCCTTTTCCTGTGTTGGTTTGAATTTATGTCAAATACAACAATGTGTTTCATTACTGAGTACTTAGTTCTCATGGTCTTTAATGCACTTAAAAAGAAGTGGGTGGGGTTATTATTATTTAGTTATGGTGGTATAGTAAGAATAATGTTGTGTATGATTTTAATGTGTACAGTAGAATCTGATATTTAGTCACACATGAAATTTTAGAATAGAAAGAATCCAGATATGTCTCTCAAGTTCATCTTATTAAGAACTCAGGAAATGTATATGGGCAATGGAAAAGGACCTGGTGTGCTGGTGGACAGCAGGCTGGCCATGAGCCAGCAGTGTCCCCTTGGGGCCAGGAAGGACAACAGTGTCCTGGGGTGTATTAAAAAGGGCATAGCCAGCAGGTCAAGGGAGGTTCTCCTCCCCCTCTACTCTGCCCTGGTGAGGCCACATCTGGAATACTGTGTCCAGTTCTGTGCTCCTCAGTTCAAGAGGGACAGGGATCTTCTAGAGAGTCCATTGGAGGACCACAAAGATGATGAGGGGCCTGGAGCATCTGCCTTACGAGGAGAGGCTGAGAGAACTGGGACTCTTCAGCCTGAAGAAGACTGAGGGGGGACCTTATCAATGTCTATAAATATCTGAAATGTGGGGACCAAATGGATGGGGCTGGGCTCTTTTCAGTAGTACCCAGTGACAGGAGAAGGGGCAATGGGCAAAAACTGAAACACCGAAAGTTCCATACAAGCCTAAGGAAAAACTTATTTACTGTGAGGGTGACAGAGCACTGGGACAGGCTGCCCAGAGGGGTTGTGGAGTCTCCTCTGGAGATATTCAAAACCCACCTGAATGCTTTCCAGTGCAACATGGTGTGGGGAACCTGCTTTGGCAGGGGGGTTGGACTAGGTGATCTCCTGAGGTCCCTTCCAACCCCTACGATTCTTTGATTCTGTAATTAGTTTAAAGCTTAGCTCAACAAGACAATATGAGTGTTGCAATCAGTATTATCCGTTTTAGGCTCCCAAATACAGGAAAGGGATTGATGCACTGGAGTGAGTTTAGTTCAGTGAGGGACCATTAAGGTTATTGGGGTCTGGAGCACTTGCCTCTTTGTGAGCCCAGAGAGAACTGGAGCCTGGAGAAGTGGAGGTTTGTGGGACCTAGTATCAACCTTCCAGTACCTCTGAGGAGGTTATGGAGAAAACAGAGCCAGGCTGTTCACAGTGGCGGGTACATGGTGGGAGAAGAGACAGTGACTATAAACTGAAACAAGACAGGTGCTAACCAAATGGAAGGAAGAGCTTTTTCCCCAGGACGACAGTCCAGCAGTGGATCAGGTTGCCCAGAAAGGTGGTACATTTTCCATCTTTGGAGTTTTTCAATGACTCAGCAGGATAAAGCACTGAGTAACTGCGTCTGCTCTCCTAGCTGACCCTGTTTGTAGCAGGAAGTTGGACTAAATGTCTGTCTGAGGTCCTCCTCAACCTGAATTATCCTGAGATCCTGAGATCATTTTTATACATTAACGACTTGTGGTACACTGTTGAAAAGATTATTAGCACTTAAAAAAAGGAATTCCTGACTACATGGTAAGTTCTTGCGATCCCTTTCAAATTTTTGTATGAATTACAAAACATAGTAGTAAATAATTTATTAATGGTTAGTTTCATAACTAATATTGATTAACAGAAATAACAAGTAAAATTTACCTGTGTCTTGTAGGCTATATGGAAGTGATTCAAATTCCAAGAGGTTCTGTGCACATTGAAATAAGAGAAGTGGCGATGTCAAAGAACTACATTGGTAAGAACATGGTTTAAATAGGAGACTGTTATTAAGTCAGAGTTTATGTTGTGATTTGCAGGTACATTTTCTGGTTTGGCCAAACTGTACACATAGTAGAAGCAGCAGAGGGAATTGGTAGCTGTTAATATTAGTTTGTGATCAGGCAGTTGCAGCAGTTGATAAGGATGTATTCTCTTGAATGAAGCTAATGAAGTACGTCATGTGATTCCTCCTTGTCCACTCAGTGCAAAATCAGGTCAACTTCACTATAGTTATAGTGTCAGACTTGAACTGAAGTGGATGAGGAACATTGAAATGACCTACTGTCCCACTCCAAGGTAGCATCTTCCACATGGGAAGTCTCTAATCTTGGGGGATTATACTGTTTTAAAACATTATTTTATTATTGGAATGATTATTAATCAACAGCCATTGTTACTTAAATGCTAAACATACTGTCTTCTTAATGCAATTTAAAGTATTAATTCCACAGTGTTTCTGTGTTAGTGTGTTGTAGGGACTAGATGCTATCAGCTGTTTTATAGATAAGGAAAACAAGGTGCAGAAAAAAATAGGTGCTTAATTGAGATCATTCAGGAAGCCTGTTGTAAAACACTGAGTTAAATTCAAATTCCCAGGTTATTATTGCTTTATTTAAAGACTGTGTTAAATTTGCTTACTGTGTTTTTAGGACTGATATGTAGAAATCTGGCTTCCTCAAACTCAAGACAACATGCATATCTGAAGGTCTCTGTACCCTGCTTTGTATAGCAGTCAGTTCACAACAGTGAAAGAACACTCATTTCTTAGTCAAAAATAGATCAGAGAGCTGATTAGTTCTACAGCAGACTAACAGATTAACATAACCAAAAGCTATTACCTGTTTAGGCTAAACAGCAGCTGACGAGGCTACTTTTGTCAGTCTGTACTGCATGTAGTTGACATAAATAACACTGACATGCTGGAAAGGATTATGATGTCCAGAAGTGTGGGCTAGAAGGGCAATTACCCTCCTAGGTACATTAATTTCTAAATCAATTATATTGGTAATAATGGTACCTTTTATTGTTGGTACCTTTTCTTTCTGCCTGCTCCCACCCTTCTGTAATTCAGCAGATAATAAATCTACCTCTATTCTGCAGGAATAAAAGCGCCACTACTCCATCAGTAGAGTGCTTATTATTCTTCAGCATCACACTCCCCTTGACCCCCCCACCACATCAAAATATACTGTGGGTAAGGTTGTTCATATATCCCATACTGACATTTCAAAAAGAGGTGGTGGGAGAGAGGCATACTATGCATCCTATCACGGTTGTTTTCTGCTAAGAACTATTCCATGGCCAGCTAAAAACCAAAACAAAGATGATAACTTTTAGCTACTGCAATTGATTTTGTTACTCCTCTATTTTATAAGCAAAGTGATCTGGAAAAGCATTTAGATTGTCACTGTCTGTATTAAATGAATGAAAAATTGTCTTTAAAATTTTGTCTTAAATAACAAAAAATACAGACAACTTCCTTGGTATTTAATCTGGCCACAGATCTAAAAATGTAAAGTGGTATATAACACTTTTTTTACATGGTTGTCACAATTTCAAGGGATTTCCTGAGTTTCAGGCTCTCTCCTCATTACCTAGCTTCATGCCACAGAAGCCCTGACTACACAAAGGAGGGATTCCTCTCCTTCACTAGTTCCTTGTGTTTCCAGCTTTCAAAGGTGTCATTATATCCTGATGAGAGAGAATCTTACTAAATTGCAGGGGCCATTTCCATTTTGTGATGGGATGTTTTGTTCTGTAAGTGTGAACCACATCACTAGTTTAGGATCACCAGTTTCTGGGGAAAGGAAGGCTTCTAATTTGTCTGCTCCTTTAAAAGAACTATACAAGCACAATGGTAGTTAAAAATGAGTTTGTTATGTTAAAACACATACCTCAAGTGTATTGTTTTATGGATATTTTTTTAGTGGCAGTGTTAACTTCACAGTTCCTTCCCTGTCTTTATGGATTTCCCTCTGGTGTTCCAGGACAGCTGTTTGTGTGACCACACCATGAACCAGATTAAAAAACCTGATTCATCTCAAAATAACCATTTACACATATTACTGTATTTTGTTTTATGTGCACTGCTGCCAAATACATGAACACTGTATAAGAAACCAATTTCTTCATTTGGAAGGAGAAAAAAAGAAAAGAATAAATCTCTCTTCCTCTGTAGCTGTCACACTGGCTTCAAAATTTCTTCTTAGTTAATCTCAGTTAGCAGACTTTAACTTGCAACGAACATCGCATGGTTCCTTAAACTAAGATCCAGTTCTTTTGCAAGCCATGGCCTCGAATACAGGCTACAGTTAGACATTTGGCAATTCAGTTAGCTCAGTCAGGACCTGTCCTCCTTCCCCCTCTCTCTGGCTGGTCATTTCTGCACCAATATCACTCCTAGTGTTGTGATAGCAAAACCAAGCACATTTCTGCAGCTGCACGAATAGTTCAGTATTTTAATTATCTGTCCAACAAATAACCCAGCAACAACAAAATTACTGTTTTCAGACCTGCTGGAAAACTGTGTGTTTGGTAATGCTGTTATCTTCCCTTAAATGGCTTGATCCAGGGTGACATCTGCCCTTATGTTCCCCTTATGCAACAGGGTGTTCTGTGCTAGTTTTCTGTGGGTTTCCTGCATTCTCAGGTTCTCATAAATGATTTGATTAGGACATTAACTTGTTCCTTCTCTCTCATATGCTAGTAGCATTATGACTCTGCATCATCATTGTCATGTAATCCTGTTACTGGATTGCTATTCACAATTCTGTGGCCTTCACCTGTGCATGACAGCTGACCTTAGGTAAATCTATTTACAGAATGCAAAAGCTTTTTCCTTTGACAGTCAGGTAAAACCAAACTGCTTTACTTCTGGATATACATTAGTTTAAGTGTATATAGCATACATACAATTGGTAGCATATAATTTCAGAATTATTATGTAAATATGTATGAGCACATTTGTTCTCTTGTGCTCATTTATATGTTTCATTTGTTGTTGTTCTTATGTCCAGATTATATAAATAGAGGATACACTTTATTGTTTGCTCTTAGTAGATACTAGACATACTGACAAGAAAATGTTAGGGATTGAGTGGCACAGTAATAGAGACTGTAATATGTCTTGGTAGCTTTGGGAGACCCTGTGACTTTCTTTTAATTAAGCTAGATTTTGTAAAAGCAGGATGGATAGAAATTTTGGCTATGGGGAAATAGGACCACTGATTAAAAAAATACTGATGTTCAGTTGTAACAGTTATTTCATATACATAGGTAAATAGTGCAGTACTGTACCTTTCTTTTAGTACAGTACTGCTTGCAATTTGTCTTGTTCCTCTGTACTCACTTTTTTTACCATCTCCTTCTTGTACTACAAAACCTATACAGTTAATAAGGAATCTGAATTACTTTGAGAATTCCAGAGAAGTGACTGTATCAGAGCTAATTTCTTCACTTAAAGCACAGGGGTGTTTCCAAAGTAAATTCAAGGAAGTCAGTGGAGTAAGATTTGTGCTAAGACATTCCTTTTCAAACCTTATGGTGCTGTTGGAAATGGTTACTAATCCTTGCTGAATGTGGCTGTCACCAACAGAACATTACTGCCTCTGGCTGTCACCAACAGAACATTACTGTCTCTCCAGCTCTCTGCTGCTCATATGAATGCTCTCTGATCTGTTTTAGAAAATTTGAGCATCATTGAAACATTTTCCGTAACTGTTTAAGGTAAAACATCTGTCCACACAGATGTGGTTGATCGTAAGTTTTCTTATTCCTTACAATTGTGTAGTCAGTTTGTTCCCTATCTAGTAAGGTCAGTTATTTGTCTCAAAAAAAACCAAAAAACAAAAGACATGGCAGTTTCATCATATATTTCCAGCCATCATTTTGCCTTTAAGAACATGTTTTATTTAAAGTAAATATGAATGCTGAAGAAGTAAATATCTAATTGACAGACTATTCACCTTATAAGTCAAGAAGTCAGTATCTCATCAACAGAATATTCATCTTAAGATACAAAGTCAGTTTCATATTTCAAAACTTAATCTAATGTTCTTGATAAAATATAAAATATAAATCCCTAAATGGTATGTGCTTGTCCAGCCTAATTGGTTGGTTAGCAAAGATGTTTATGGTTTTGTCTACAGTACTTTTAGTTTAAGGCTGTGAATTTGGAATAATAAAATATTTTATCAGATTAAGTAACTAGTATTTGGGTTCATAATAGAAATATCTTGTATTTAGGCTTTAAGAAGAAAAAAATCCCAACCAAACAATGGACAAAGGCTACGAAGTAAGAGGTGGTTGGCACCATATGTCAGACTCGATATTCCTTCTCTTTTTTTTCTCCAGTCATTACCTGAGATACCTATCCCATGCCCCAACTTCTTAATCTAAAGATCAGATTGATAATGGATTATACATTTGAGACCTACACATATCTGACTTAGAACAGCATACATTGCACATGGGCTCAGTTTTAAAGCTGAAGATGCATTGCAAGTTGTGTCAGGCATTCTGTTTCGTTCATATAACATCTACGTGTTGAAATCTGCAAAGTATACCTGCACATTGAAGGCTGTTGCAGAGACAATACTGTCAAACTGCATGAGGGATATTTTGACTAGGGCTAACCAATAGGCTTTCAGTTGCTTGAAAAAACAGTGATACTGAGCTGAAGCTCACATACTTTTAACATGAGTAGATTAATTTGCAATGGCTTCTCCATTACAAATGCTGCTTCCAATTTTTAGGTGGCTTGTATTTTTTTTTAAGCTTTAAAATCTGAAGAGGATGACTACTATATTAATGGTGCCTGGACTATTGACTGGCCAAGAAAGTTTGATGTTGCTGGAACAGCTTTCCATTACAAGAGACCAACAGATGAACCAGAGTCTTTGGAAGCACTAGGCCCTACTTCAGAAAATCTCATAGTCATGGTAAAGTTATAATTAATATATTTCTGAAATTTGAAATATGTATTTGTGTTCTGAGAAAAGACAAGGCCATGAATGAAATCAAAATAGGTTGTGTTTTCAAAGAGTATACAGCTTACCTAGCTGAGACTTTGCGTTTGTGTTTTAACACAACTTTCTTATCTTTCAAAATTGACTGACAAATGTAGTGATGAAACAGGGATAAAGTTAGAAGAGCCCCAGGAAATCTCACAGAAAATGTCCCAACTCTGTTACATGTGGCTCAGAATAATGGTAGCTGAAATCATAAATGGGGTGTATGTTGTGTCTCTGTGTACTGCTGGTACATGGAAATGTTGAGGTGCAGCATGACAGTTCCTGACAGTTCTGTAGATGCCAGTGGTTTTAAGCCTGGACTGTGAAGTAGCCACAGCACATTTGACCTGTGTCAAAATATATTGCTGTGACATACATTGTTCTGATCAGATTCTACAAAATATGAGAATGTAACAGAAGATGTGAGCAGGATCCTGATACCCTGTCTCTGACAGAAGGCAATAGTGAGCCTACTGTTGAGCTGTGTTGAGGAAGAGTATAAAAACAAGGTGATACTTGCCCAGTATATTCTATCAGCTGCCATATTTGCAGTTCAGGAATTGCTTGAGCCAGATGGGGTATTTTTGGGTATAGGATGATTGTTGTCTGCATATTCACATTTTAGGCAACATTTTAAAACTCCCAAATCCTGTTTTTTCTGCTGTAGGTATAGATAAGCTAGATAGTCCATATGGAATGAGTTACACAATGATTATAGTGCCCTTTCTCACCAGTCAGTGCCACTGACTTTCTTACCAAAAGTTCTCTGCTCTTTTGTCCAATGGAGATAGGCAGATAGGTCTCCAAAATATCACAGAAGGTAGAAGGGGATGAGAAGTTGCTCTAGGATGTGTCAGATTGCTGCATCTAATTTGATATTAGCAACAGAAAGAAAAAGTTTGATAGAGAGTCAAGGGCTAGTGTTGGACAGGTGGTATGTGGAAGTGCAGTTCAACAGTGAAAGCAGAAAAAAACTCCTGGTGATTGTTGCACTTCTGTCTCTATCACCTGCAGTGATACAGCTGCAGCGAGTTTTGATACTCCTTTAAAGGAATCACAGGTGTGATTCCACCAAGGTAATGTTGTTGGCTGTTGCATTAGGGGAAAACAATGACATCAGCAACAGTCTGTTGCTGTTACTATTATTACTACTGTTATAGTCACTAGAAGTGCAAACAAGGGCAGAGCTATGTTCATAACTGTTTTGTGGGTAGCTCCTCACAAGATGTCAGTGAGGACTGCTGCATGTTTGCACAGTTATGTCCTTAATAAACTTTGACTTCACATAATTATTCAGCTGTCAAATTAATTTCCCATTAATACATTAATTTTATGAATACTGGCTTTTTAAAACAATTATGTCAAGAGTAAAGAACTGATGGAACTTGAAAAGCTGTGTTAAGGGGGAGAAAAAAGACAAAGCTCATCTTAGACAATAATAATTTTATTTTATATATGTTTTAAAAGTTTGTCCAGATTCTTTTGGGAATACGTAAAAGAACTACTATGGCTTCTTTTATTACTTTTTTCCCTTCCGCAGGACATAACACATACCTAGATTAAATGTCACTGTAGTTGCCCTTTGCTTGCCTGTTTTAATGGTATAACCAGTTGTTTTCAACTACAGATTCTGCTACAGGAACAAAATTTGGGTATAAGGTATAAATTCAATGTTCCCATCTCTCGCACTGGCAGTGGAGACAATGAAGTTGGCTTTGCATGGAATCATCTGCCTTGGTCAGAATGTTCTGCCACTTGTGCTGGAGGTAAGACACCAGGCAGTCAAGCTACAGGGTAAACAAATTGCAAGATACGCTTTACTGCATGATTATTTAGGTAACTAATTGAAAACATTTATTTCAGACATGCTTCGAACCTCAGTTTAGTGAAAGAACATTTATTTTATCGCAATGGATTTTGTTGTTTTTGAGCACATTTAATATGTTCAGATGTTTTTGTTAAATACAGTTTATCTTGGCACAGTGTCTCTCTCTCCTGATGGTTCTTCTGAGATTCTCATGAAGCTGGTATATTTGCTTTTCACAGGAGCTTTCTTGATAAAGTACATCAGAAGTTTTAAGTAAAGGAGATTAAAACCAAAACGCAAATAAGGCAACTGTAAATACAGGGATGTGTCTTCATGTGTTTGTAGGCACACTTCACAAGATCCTAGTCAGCCCTCCTGTTCTCCAGCCACAAAAGATTAGGATGTATACTGGCATCTCCTCTGTAGGAGATGATAACAACTGGATTATACATCCCAGCCCATAGCAGTATCTGAGAATTGTTGCCCTTTGGCAGCAGTGGGGGATTTGTAGGTTGTCTCATGGGATTCATCATGGGTCTTCTGCCCACAATTTACTATATTCCTAATCCTCCCTCTAGTGGCCGCCAATGCAATTCTTAAGCTCTGGCTGGGAGAGCAGGACAGTTGGCTTCCTTCAAAGCCAACACCTTTGCTGCTGCACGGACTAGTGAGTAGAAGAGCTGTGTGAAGAGTATCGTTCTTCTCTCTGGATGCTGAATGCATCATCTCCTCAACATGCCTCAGTTGCAGAAGATATGGGAGAGCTCTTTGAACCCACCTCAGAATTTCATTATTCTATCACTGTGCACTGCCCATAGCAAGAGGAAGTTACGGTATTTTTTTAAAGTACCTTTCAACCAAATGTTTGTCCTTTTTTTTTTTCTGGCTGCTGGAGGTATTAATGTTTAGAACTTTCTTGACTCATTTTTGTGCTGGAACCTGCTGTGGCTGTTATTAGTCGTCTGCTCTTTAAATACAGCTGCTTGCTTGTTGATATGTAATACACAAAGGACAGCACAAATTCTCTTCTGTGCTGCTAAATAGAGGAAGTCTTGAAACAAAATAGAGGAAAATGCCAACTTTCTCCATTATTTTTATTGTTCATTTTTTGGATTCCTGGGTGACAGATTGCTTTTTTAACTTCCATTTCAGTAATGGTAGGAATTGTAGGAAAAAGAAAATTTTAAAGAAGTATAAAGAGGGGAAGTGCCTAGCTCATAGCAAAAGACAGTTCCAGGTATTGGAACCTTATAAGTACTGCCAAATTATATTTTTATGATGGCAGTGAGTCAATGATCTTTTTGAAGTCATGAGAAAACTCCCATTGATTTAAGTAAAGACAAGATTTTAGCCATGGATCTGTTGTGCGGGTCATTGTAATTTCACAGATTCAACAATACACAATGGAAAAAATAATTTGCTCTGAAGGAGTAGGCACTTGTCGAGATTAAAACATTTTGGCTTAATTAATTAACTTTTAATGGAAGATTTGTAAATCCCTGAAAACTGCATACTCTTATTCATTTGAAACTTTTTTTGGGCAGAATGGTTTTCTTTGGTAGGCTATGGTGGCTAAACCAGGCACTTTTCTTTCTTTCTTTCAGCTTAGTATGAGGATATGCTATGGTCACTTATTTTCACTGAGCTCTGTACTCGGGGAATAAATAATTCATTTTAGCTATAATTCATGTTAATAACTGTATCTGCTTTCTCCATATGAGTACCTGCTATTCCCCCCAGTTTATGAAACACCTTTCACCATATGCCAAATGAAGACACAATTCTACAAAGGAGCTGAGTCAGGGAAAAAGAAATGGGAGACAAAGGTTGTAGAGACAGAGACTGTAACTGGAAAATTTAGCTAATACAGTTACGTAGTGTTGAGAAAACTTAGAAATTAAACCACTGCATGGCTTTGTTTATTTCTGTAGGATTCATTATGAAGTCTGTTATTGAAGTTCTATTTACTTGAACTCTGTCTTTAGAAGAGGCATTTTACTTTACATGAAAGAATAATAAAATATTAAACAGCTAAGGGATTTCTCACTGAAAGTAAAAAAAGGACAATAAGCATATATGAAGAATATTAGTATGGAAATTATTTTTTATTTATGAGGTTAAGAAAGGTTATATAGGAACTGTGGGACATACATGTGGAAAAGTTAAAGGCATCAGTATTTTCCTTCTTCTTGCTGTAGCTGGTGTGGCGCACCTGTGGTGCATGGACTGATCAAGGTTTGATCATATGTTATTCCATCTCGACCCAGGAAGGCTCTAGATTACGTAGAGCCAGATACATTTTTATATGAAAGCATAGGCTTTATGTCAAAACTGTAGGTAAATCTAAGTTCTAATCAACACATTTAACTTCCGTTCATCTCTGAACATGTCTGTATTTTAATATTACATCTTTTTGACTAGGTGTATGTAGCACTTAAAAAGCTGTCTTAAAAGAATAACAAATTTGTGAGTATTTAGAAGCCAGGAAATGACAGATTTAAGGATGACTATGAAATCTTAAATTGTGTCTGTAGTTGTGGCTGTTCTGTGAAACAGGGACCAGTTGAGCAGGGACCATTCTCTGAGGCTGTATCACAGGCTAGTTCGTGTCCACTCCACACTACTTAAGTCTAGTTCTCTCTAAATCAGACCAACTGTATCTGCATTACATACCATTTGACTAAGTCTGTGACTCTTAAAACATAGTTATTACTGGATGTATATTTTTAAAATCAAAGAATCTAAAAAATAAAAATTAAGGACTGCGTTACAACCTACCAGAGTGATACTTTTGTATTGTGGACTTGAGGATATATGTTGAATGTCACAAAGTAGAGCACAAAGGCTAGAGCAGCATTTTGGCAGTGCACAGTTTAAATACTTTTGGAGTATTGTATATTGCAGAAGTGTCCTATCTTTGTGCAGTCTCTTCTTCATAGTATTTTTAGAGAAGTCCACTCCATTCGGCTGTTCCTAGGGCTTCCTGTAGGCCTTGTCTTGGAGAAGGATAACTAGAGCAGTCAGGAGTCAAGAAGCAAGCTAAGACCCAGCTATGAGCAACCTGCAGTGTTAAATTTGGTGGTAATATGCTGTCTTTTCTACTCGACTTGTATATTATGTTCATCTCTACTGTGCTGATGAGTCACATCTGAAAAGCAACAGGCTTTAACTTTTTGAACAGGACCTCTGTTCAGGGCCTGTCTCAGTTATGCAGAATAGGAAGAGCATAGTAAATGGAATGGTAGGACGGAAGAGGAGGGTTTCCTGCTTATGGGAGCTCAGTGTGGTGCTAGAGCTCTGGATTCCATTCCTGCCTCTCTTGTGTGGTTCTCATGTGACACTGAGCAACTCAAAGCATACATTACAGTCTTACTTGCTAATTACAGAATCACAGAATCACACAGAATCA